ATATGGTGCTTTGTGGTTTAAAACAAGGAACAAATCAGTTTGCTTACATGGAAGAAGCTTTTGGAGTGAATGCGAAGGTTCGTCTATTTAATTTTTTAGTCATAAGTAACCATCATAAAAACTTGTTCACGATATTAGTGAGCAGTAGTCTATACAGCTTGTTATTATTAAGCTACTTGAGGATACATTTGCGTTCTTTAATTTTCTGTTTTCAGACATTACTATTTATATATAGTGATAATATCATGTAAATTCAGAAGTCAAACATTATGTTGAAATACAATGAAGACGTTTTTCTATCACTAAGACCATCTAAAAACACCGATTTAAACAGCTTGACGCTTACATATTATACGCTATACCTGTTCATTATTTCACGACTTAGGATGAGAAGTATTTCCGAACTAGTGTTTGTAAGTGCATCCTGACTTTGGTTGGTTTCCTGAAGTTCATAAAAACGAAATTTCAAATATGATTCGAAATCTCACTTATTGGTGATCCTGTCACAATTTTTCAAAAATCTATGTCAACAGTCCTGTCTATTTTCTATCCATACAATCTCGTATTAACCAAATGTCTAACTTTCAAATTATGCTAATTAATCACTTAATTAATTGAAATGAATAATTAAGATGATTATTGTTACTTTCCGTCCTATATTTGATCAACAAGCTTTCTAACTTAGTCTTATGTCTCTTTTTTTTATGTACAATATAAAGCTATCAACTATTAAAAGCTTGAACGAGCTTCCGTGGACGATCACTCCCAATCATTTTTCCCATGAATATCCTATTCATGATTTAGAACAGCCTGTTATACTGTTGTCTCCAAACGCACGTCAAACATTTGAAGCTGGTGAATTTGACCATAATGCTGCTTATGTCATTGGGGCAATAGTGGATAAAGCTGTTCGGAGACCAATTTCTTCTGCAATAGCTCGACAGTTACGTAAGTATTAACTGATTTGCATTTGGTAATTATCGAGAAAAGATCAGAGTCTATTGTGTAGGACTGAGTATTAACTTAATGGACTCATATTCTTAGCCTTTGTTCCTATATTTTTCGTATCGTGTAAATAACAAAATACAAAACTTCAGTGGCCAAGTTAGGCAAGTAGAGTTCCCTTATCCTTGTTTTCAGTAGCACTCAGATAAATCAAGACTTGATTCCATCGAAAAAGGTGTCGTTGTGTCATTGTCTAACAGATTAAGCGATTAGCAATTCCAAGGTTCCTTTTAATTTGTTTTTCTAGGTTTCGATTTGTACCATCTATTTCCTCCTTATATTGGCTTATATCTTGCTATATTCGTATTAATTTGTTCTCAACCCTAATCTTAAATTTAGAATCTATGACTTAATATTCTGAAGTCTTTTTTTAAATTGTCCCTTGTAACCTGGAGATTCTTATTTTTTGGGTTTTGATTAGTTGCTTTGTAAGTGTTGTTTTTCTCGTTGCTCATAGTAGTGTGTATATAATAATATCGATATCTGTGTTATTTCGGAAGCATTTACGAATAATCAACTATAAAATTTCTGTTTTTTGATTGCTATATATATATATATATATATATATATATATATATATATATATATATATATATATATCACCAAGTGTTTGCATCCTCGTGTAATAATTTGAAATTTACCTGGTTATACTAAGGCATTAATTCCGTGCTCCATGACGAAATCCATCTTTCTACTACAGTATAATATCACGTCGTCAGAGGTTCTGAAACGTAAAAGAAACTAGTAAAAAGTACTAGCTATCAAATATTTGCAGCAATATTGTGTAAATGATTCATATTTAAGGAAGCTTCTAGCAGTATTCATTAGTATACTACTGCATACTGTTTCGATGTGATCTATCAGATTTTGATTGTGATATGCAATCTTCCAACTGACTACTATATATATATTCTGTAGAGACTTAAGCCACCAATGATGTGTCTCACGTTTTAGAAATAAAAGCCATTTCTTGACGTATCATTTAGTTGAAATTTGATTGTCACAATGTATCATACAGTCACTCCCCTGTTAGCATCCTCAAGTCAGTTGACTTGCATTCATATCGTTAAAGATTTACTTGAAAAATGGTGTATACAAAATATATAGATATTTTTACTTATATGATAGAGATAAGTCCCCTGAATAGCGGAAGAATAATTTTTTCCACTTTATCTATCGAATCGTATAATCTTGATTTCACTAGTACAGTTTATCTTCCCATATACATTAAACATTGGGTTGTTATTTACATTTAACCTTTTTTATGTTCCTATACTACCGTAGTTGTGATTATTTTTTCTTTATGTCTTCCTTTGTCATCTTTATTATTATTATTTTCGGTGGTTTACACCCTCGATGTAGTTAGGTCGTTAGATAATTTGTTTATATTTTTATTGAGGAGTATTCTTGTAATAATTACATGTAAGGATTTTGTTTGTTTTTTCAATACCGTAATAATGCGCTTTATGTATTTTTGTTCTTTTTATCAACACCTGATGTCTTCAAGGCATAAAATGTGTCAGTCTACCTTTGGATCGCTATATAAAATGGGGAAGTGGCAAAAGCAAAACACTATCCATAAACTGCATTCATGCGATAATGTGTGCAGCCAAGGAAACTAATGGAGACTGGAAGAGAGCTCTGCTTGAAAATATCCCTTCACGATTTTATGCTCTTCCATCAAAAGAATCTGTTGTATATAAAAGTACATAAAGCTGCATTTGCCTTTACGTATGCTTTTTGATAATACATAATCCTTCTTAATGTGTGAGTAGTCCAATTCATAGTACTTTAATAGATGTTAACGTAGCTCTAATATTGCACAAACATACGCCAATTACTTCTGATATTCCTAAATTACGTATATGACATTATTTATTTATAATGTATACAATACCGAGAACACTTTCATTTCATCAACTAATACCCCAGTCTTTGTTTTTTTTTTTACATATGAATACCAAGTCGGATAGAAAACCATGTATAGTGTCTGGTACGTTTTCAAGCGTAGTAAATTCCAATGGGTTTCGCGTAATGCATGCAATTGGTTAAGCTGTTTGAATGCATCAACGTACTGTAAAATGTGATAGATTTAGTTGTCGTCTCTACAGTTTGTTTCAAAGCTATTCCTTGATATTGATCTGGAATCTTCGTAACTAAAGATAGTTAGTTACGTCAATTGAACGGTCTATGTTAATACAAACACCTGTCTTTACCCCTTTATTAATCGATTAACAACCCAGAGTAGGAAAGCTACATTATTAACATGTATTATACTTGTCATACTGATATTATAAAACCGTTGCTTGAAATATGACATTAATTTCGTCAAATCAATGGCAAGTAAAGCTTTACTCGACTCGTGCTTTGTAGACTACCTGGAAGTGGAATATTTAGTGATGGGTTTTAAAAATTCATGTATTAAGATGTTTTCGATAACCCTTACAAGCTAATGGCAGTTTCCTTGAATTTTTTATGTGCCAGAACACGCTAATAGTCGTAACGGTTCTAAGCTGTTCTCCAGCCACTGTATTAGTACTAACGAGTACGATTAATGTATAAGTTAAATTGTGGCACCCTTGGAACTTTGGTAATGTAAGTTTACTAGGCCAAGACGCCTACAAATTAGGACTGTTTTGGGGATGAACGCAGTTGTTTGCTACATTTACTCTATCTTCAAAATAATTGCACTTCTCACTTTTCAGATTTTAGTGCAAAGTCTGTCCATGTTGTGTGTGATTGATATAGAGCTAGTCATTTCAAATGTAAGTCGATTGTCGTTCCCTAATTAGAAGTTATCATACTAACGAATTATCATCTAAGAGACCTTATGCAATAGTATGATTTGTATAACGTTCTGCTACAGTCTATTATTATATCATTAAGGTGTTCATACACTTCTTGACTACGTGATTGAATCAGTTCAAGTTGCGGTCACACAAAGGTACCAGTCTGTAACACAAGTAACGTGTACATTCCCACTAGCTGAAATAGTGTTAATTTAGTTTCACAATATCAATATTGGTTCATTAAATTAATGATAATGTTAATTTAATCAAATGCGAGTTCTTCAGATTTCACTGAAACTTAAGGTTTGATTACCTGCACAACTGATAAGTCTGAACCTATATTCTGTCGATGGTTAAAACATTACATGAAGTTACTCATCAACAATAGCAAGAGTGTTATTCGTTAGACTGAAGGAGTATTACTTTTAAAAGCTATTATTCACCAATTACTTGCAACAAACAACTCGTGGTATACAGCCTTTTCCTTTTAAAACTGAATGATCAGGAATTTATCATTGCTTTATATGCTCACTATAATTGTTTTATTTTCTTGAAAGCACAGAGAGACCATACCAGAATATTATCATACTATTCACAGTCAAATATGTAGCCTTACATCGATATTTCCAAATATAAATTCATAAAGTTGTAGAAATAAGGAAGCATTACCGAAGTTTCTCAGGACTTAAAAGAGCAGTGATTATAAACCACATGACAAGTCATTCGATGGAAGTGTCATCCATCCATCTTATTTTGTCGATGTACTGCGTCCTAAATGCAAATTGAATGTGACATAAGTTGGTGGTCAAAGTTATAGTAGAACACAAGCTTTAGATAGGGTGATACAATATGTGGACATTTTTTTCTACTATAAAAGGTTTGTATAAGTGCGTGAACGTAGAACGGGTGAAATAACATACAATGCGATAGTGAAAATAAAGTGACTAATAGGAAATTTAGCTGTTATCCTGGGAAAGTCATTTGTCAACATAAAGTAATTTGGTCATGATGATTGCTTACATATTAAACCGCAATAGACTGAATGACCGTTTTAGAGCCATTTTTCCGGAATAAACATCTTATTAGAATTACGCAACCTTTCCAGGAAAAATGAAGTATTTAACAAAAAGTTGACTGAACTCTTCAAGTTCAGGTTAAGTTTCGAGATATAACCGTCTCGCACTACGCCTTGCAAAAAAACACCTGTAGAGATTTACAACAGTGTAATTCAGTTAAAAGCATCTTTTCCAGTTAACATCTCGTTTAGTTTTGAAAGTGTATCTCTACACATATGAATTTCACTCAAAAGTGTATCTATGTTTTCGAGTTGTTCCATGAGTTCTACTATAAGCCCCTGAATTATTTCGTCGTCCATGATTTCTTGTTTTTGACTTCGTGCTTCTAAATCAGCAAAGAACGTAGATACCTAAGAACAAGTTACTGTCCAGATCCCATCTTTGTTACTTTATCGATCACAAACTGCTTACACTCAGCCATCTCTCTTCGATATGTATCGCGATATGTTTGTATTCTTTCTATTGCGTCGTTTGCCTTATCTTCAATTAACTTCCTAAGTTCCTTTGTATCCATTTCCGCGCTCCCTGTAGACATTGCGCAGTAAAAGGTACGGAGATTGAAATGCTTCCTTTTGATTATTTAAAACAAATACTCACTCCTTACAGGTAGTTAATTCGGATAACAGTTATCGTCAAAGCAACAACCTTTCAAATTTCTTCCCCAGTATTCAAAGGTATGACAAGTAAACTGACGATATTATTGTTAAGTCCAGACGAAACATTTATTGAAGTAAGCTGACCAACACCTTTGCAGTTCTCTACCGAGATCATTAGTCGATATTATATGCATAGATAGATATATGTTTATCATACAACCCCAATTATCTCTAAAACGAAAGGGATTAAATGTCTTAATTTTCACTTAACAATGGGAGATAATTAATAAATGATGCATATATTTCCTAGGCTTTAAACGTTAGTTACCTTCTATTTTCATAGGTGAGTCTGTAGGCAAATTTTTGTGTAACCTTGAATCATTATAGTTTTGCTGAAACCATACCAACTTATCAATCAGCAAGTAATGAAATCTCTTAATCCTGGGACACTGACAACTAGCTGATTTCTGTGGTAAAAATCAATATGGCTTCAGAGTCAATGCGAATTAGTTGATGGACACAAAAGAACTGGAGGGTTGCTTCCTTCAGAGCTTTGTTCTCTACGAATCTAAATATGGTATTAACATGGAATGGGGGAAAGATAGTTTGTTCACAACGTTAAGTAGAGCGCATGAGTTACATTAAGACTAAGCGCGTTGCTTTGCACCAGCAGTAAGGTTCGATTTTAAAAAACTAATATCTGAGAAGCATTTACGGTTTCCAGTGATTTTGTCTCTATTCAGGAATGTTTGCGATCTCCAACGTTGCGATAAATTGTACATTAAAATGGTGAAATTACCACAATTCGCAACGTTATTCGTAATAAATACCAATTAACGTGATTATCATGTCCTACCGGTTCAAAGAGAAATGGATGTACCACACTTAAGCTTAAATCCATCCATGAGTAAAACTGCTTCAATCTCCTTATTGTGGATGATAAACAATCTACCAACTAAGAATGTACTTATTACTCAGATTTGCTGAATAACTTGATAAACGATGCAATGTACGTAGAAATATGTAATATAATAATATGGTCAGTGTTTGGTTGGTAATGAATATATTTGACAGTATGAAAATGCTGTGAGCATTTCCTGCCAGTTCCAGGAATGACTTAGCTAGACACATCTTATTTACAAAGTTCGATTTCAAACATCTATTGTGTTAGTTTCTTCGTAGGAGCAGAAGTATCTTGCATACGTTCAGTTTAATTCAGAATTAATTATGTAATTTATAAAACCGTCTCAGTAATTCACGCTTCGTCCACATTTTTTGGGTTCATTAATGAGTCTATGAGATAATTGCTTAGATTGGTATTGTTGCATTGTTCTTTGCCCTCGGAGTGATAAACCTAGTGCATAATTTTTTTCTCACGATGTGCCTACTTTATCTATCATACCCTATGTGAAAATCACATAACTTTTTATTCTGACTCGTTCTGTGATGAATCAGTAATTTGTTATTTAGTAATTCTGAAATGCATATTTGAGCCGGAAGAAGACTAATGAATTTGGTGTGGAAAAGAAATAAATATTACATGGAGTGATCATACATGTATGGCCGAACCATGCCATACGGATTAGTTCTTTCCTCGTTCACCACTTCTGACTTTTTCTATGCTATGATATTATTTAATTACTTACTTGTGCCTGTTATTCCAGAAGAAAATAGGCCGCTGACCAGCGTTCCCTAAGCCCCTCTGACCTGGGCCTTCCATTCTAAGTCTATACGACTGATGTTAATTCTTCACATGTCTGTCTCCATTTCTCGGCGTTATGTGTACTTTGGTCTTCCTCTCTTCTTTGGCCTTCAGGATTCCATGTGAGGGCTTGACTTGTGTCGCAGTTGTGTGCTTTCCTCAATGTTTGCCCTATCAACTTCAAGCGCTTCTTCCAGAATTCTTTCTCTGCTGGGATCTGGTTTGTTCTTTCCTACAGCAAGTTGATCCTGATAGTGTCTCACAAACGGATCCAAAGTACCTTGCGCAGGCAACCGTTAGTAAACGCTTGTTTCTTCTGGATGATGACTTTCGTTGTCCTCCAAGGTTCCGGCCCATACAGTAGAACTGTCTTGACATTTATATTGAAAATTCTGAATTTGGTGTCGGCTTACAGATTTTTTGCATTCAAAGTGTTCTTCAGTTGTAAATATGCTGCTCTTGCGTTGCCGATCCGCACCTTCAAAACTGCATCAGGTCTACCGTGTTCATCAATGACGCTGACAAGATATGTAACAGTTTTTACATCTTCCAAATCTTCTCAGTCATTTCTGATTAACTTGGTGCATGCTGTGTTGTATCTGAGAATCTTGCTCTTCCCTATGTTTATACTGAGACCTATTGCTGCTGCGGCTGCTGCCACACTGGTCGTTTTCTCATGCATTTGATGTTGCGTTTGAAATAAAAATCCAGATCATCTGTGAAGTCTACACAGTCCGGCTGAATCCTAGATGTCCAATGCATCAAAAAATTCCCACCACAGATATTGACTTCTTCATGATCCATTCGATCACCAGGAGAAAGAGAAAGGGTGAAAGTAAGCAACTTTGCCTGACACTGGTCTTCACTTCGAACGACTTTGTCAACTGTCCTCCATGCACGATTTTGCAGTTTAATCCATCATATGAATTCTGTATGATATTGACTATCTTCTGTGGCACGCCGTAGTATTGAAGAAGCTTCCATAGTGTTGTTCTGTCCACGCTATCAAATGCTTTTTCGTAGTCAATGAAGTTGATGTAGAGTGATGAGTTCCATTCAATTGGTTGTTCCACAATAATCCATAGAGTTGCGATTTGGTCTGTACACGATCTATCCTTACGGAATCCTACCTGTTGGTTTCGAAGTTGGTTGTCTACGGAGTCCCTCATTCTGTTTAACAATACCCTGTTCAAGTCTTTTCTCGGTATTGAGGGAAGAGTGATGCCCCTGCAGTTACCACAGTTGCCGAGATCGCCTTTCTTTGGTATTTTGATCAGATATCCTTCTTTCCAGTCTTTTGGTACTTGTTCCCCATCCCAAATCTTATTGAAGAGAATGTGGAGTATCCCTGCAGTTACCGCTACGTCTGCTTTCAGTGCCTCTGCTGGAATGTTGTCTAGTCTTGCTGCTTTGCCACTCTTGATTTGTCTGATGGCCATGCTGATTTCTTCAATTGTTGGTGAGTCAACATTGATTGAGAGGTCCGTGGGTGCTGCTTCGATATTGGGTGGGATCAGTGGGGCTGGTCGATTCAAGAGTTCTTTGAAGTGTTCTACCCACCTGTTTCGTTGCTCCTCAATGTTGGTGATTACCTCGCCTTCCTTGCTATCAATAGGTCGTTCTGCTTTGCGGTGATTTGGAGACAGTTTTTTGTTATGTCATCCATTTGTCTCATGTCTCCTTCTATTGCAGCCTTTTCCGCCGTCATTGCTATATCATCCACACGTTTACGTTTGTCAGTTCTGATGCTCCTCTTCACTTGCTTGTTTACTTCTGTGTATTCAGCTTTTGTCTTGTCTTTTTCTGCACTTGTTCGGCTGGTATTGATTGCTGCCTTCTTGTTCCTCCTTTCTTGAATCTTATCCAGTGTATCAACAGCGATCCATTCTATGTGATGGTGCTTCTTGTGGCTCAGAACCTCATGGCATTTTGAAGTGATTGCCTCTTTGATCCATTCCAGTTGCTCTGCAGAGTAGTTATGTCATAACGTGTGATCTGTGTGTCCTGTTGATATATAGCGTAACGATACCGCAAATGAGAATGCAGTGAATTATCTATGGGATCAATGAAGCCAATACCCGTGAGAGCAGTCTGGAGTCCTGAGTGCATCTGATTTCCGCCTAGCTCAGCTAGAAGAATCTAGAACAACAATCACAGCCTTTACAATATGCATCATTTATCTTAAGCATACTGGGTTTATATACCAATCTGACAGACCACACCGTACCATAAAATATGAAACAAAATTTGTGGAATAATTAACCAAATGTGGCTGTGAATGAGGCAGGTAATAATTAACAGACAGGGCATAATGGAAGAATGGTAGATCGTATAATAATAGTTCATATGTCAAAATAAAGCTCATAATAAAAGGGACGTGAATATGAACTGTTTAGGTATTTACCAACCATACGATAAAAATATACCTATAGTATTGTCGCATAAATGGATCACAAAAATCACCGTTCATTATACTTATCAGAACCTAACAAGTTCCCTCTCCATTGAGTGAATCGTGAAAGATTTTTCATCACACCATTCTTAACTATTACTTCAAAGTGTCTTATTTTACCATGAAACTATTTCATTACCGACTAGTTTTTTCATTCTCTTTGCCACACAAATGGTGCCGATTATCCTTAATGTGTTTCACGAAGATATTTATTAAATTATTTACACACTTCAATTTTCTTTCGTCTCATTTCATCAAACTTAACTTTATAATATTTCTAACATTACAAAACTTCTTTAAATATGACGAACATTGTGCGAAATTTATATAAACGTGCGTATAAATGTTCTCTGAAACCTGAAATGGTTTCTCAAAAATTCTGTGTACACATAATCTGTTTATGGATTGCAATAATAATTAGTCAACAATCGATGTCCGATTTCGAACTCGATACCATTCTTTCAAAATTTTGTGACATTATCTATCAAATTATTATTTACAGATGATGATTGAAAGATGAAGATTGGCTTATCAAATAATCCTCTGTTCGATACCGCTAGTAGTTTCGGTTGACGACTATACATTCATTCAAACCAAAGATACGATTGATAGAAAGATTTGTATTCAGTATATAATAGCATAACTCCGCCAGGATTCCCTCCGGAGACTACTGCCGGTCCCAAGCCCGGATAAAGGAGGAGGGTCGGGCATGGGGTTAGCGACCCCATCCCGTAGAAAACTAACTCGCTAAAAAAGCGCTAACCAGAAAAAATTATTCAAACCTTTTAAACTCTGCCCTGAGAGTCGGAAGGTCTTCATTTAGAAGAACGATGACGCCTCATGATGAAAACCGAGTTCCTTCGGAAGTTACGAGGCCGATGCCCCGTCTGACAACCAGAACAACCATTTATTTAGGTACATGGAATACTCGTACAGTGTGGGAGACCGAGAGAGTCTTCCAAATTGCTGCAGAAATGAGGAGATACAACCTAGAGGTATCTCTGATCAGTGAAACACATTGGACGCAAGTTGGACAACAATGACTAGCTTCAGGGGGGTTGCTGTTATACTCCGGCGATGAGGAAGTAAATGACCCACATACACAAGGAGTTGCATTGATGCTGTCCAAACAAGCATAAAATGAACTTATAAGATGGGAATCTCATGGACCAAGGATAATAAAAGCCTACTTCAAAATAAAGAAAGAGGACATTACAATGAACGTCATCCCATGCTATGCGCTTATCAACGACTACAATGAAGACGCTAAAGATCAATTCTACAATAGGCTGCAGTCAATCGTTGAGAAGTGCCCAACAAAGGACTTGACCATTCTGATATGTGTCCTAAATGCCAAGGTTGGTATGGACAACACTGGATATGAAGACATCATGGGACGACATGGACCAAGAGAAAGAAACGAAAATGGTGGGAGGTTTGCGAACCTATGTGCCTTCAATAAACTGGTTATGGGCGGGACTATATTCCACATAAGCGCATTCACAAAATCACATGGACTTAACCGGATCACACTACACAGAACCAAATCGACCATATCTGCATCAACAAAACGTTCAGGAGGACGATGGAAGACGTGAGAACCAAGAGAGGAGCTGATATAGCATCAGATCATCACTTGCTGGCCACCAAGATGAAATTGAAACTCAAGAAGTACTGGACAACGGGCCGGACAATATCACAAAAGTTCAATACGGCATTTCTTCAGAATACTGACAAACTCAACGAATTCAAGATAGTCCTCAGCAATACGTTCCAAGCCTTTCATGATCTATTCAATGGAGAAGGAACTACTCTGGAGAGTAACTGGAATGGATCAAAGAGGCAATCACTTCAAAATGCCATGAGGTTCTGAGCCACAAGAAGCACCATCACATAGAATGGATCGCTGTTGATACACTGGATAAGATTCAAGAAAGGAGGAACAAGAAGGCAGCAATCAATACCAGCCGAACAAGTGCAGAAAAAGACAAGACAAAAGCTGAATACACAGAAGTAAACAAGCAAGTGAAGAGGAGCATCAGAACTGACAAACGTAAACGTGTGGATGATATAGCAATGACGGCGGAAAAGGCTGCAATAGAAGGAGACATGAGACAAATGGATGACATAACAAAAAACTGTCTCCAAATCACCGCAAAGCAGAACGACCTATTGATAGCAAGGAAGGCGAGGTAATCACCAACATTGAGGAGCAACGAAACAGGTGGGTAGAACACTTCAAAGAACTCTTGAATCGACCAGCCCCACTGATCCCACCCAATATCGAAGCAGCACCCACGGACCTCTCAATCAATGTTGACTCACCAACAATTGAAGAAATCAGCATGGCCATCAGACAAATCAAGAGTGGCAAAGCAGCAAGACTAGACAACATTCCAGCAGAGGCACTGAAAGCAGACGTAGCGGTAACTGCAGGGATACTCCACATTCTCTTCAATAAGATTTGGGATGGGGAACAAGTACCAAAAGACTGGAAAGAAGGATATCTGATCAAAATACCAAAGAAAGGCGATCTCGGCAACTGTGGTAACTGCAGGGGCATCACTCTTCCCTCAATACCGAGAAAAGACTTGAACAGGGTATTGTTAAACAGAATGAGGGACTCCGTAGACAACCAACTTCGAAACCAACAGGTAGGATTCCGTAAGGATAGATCGTGTACAGACCAAATCGCAACTCTATGGATTATTGTGGAACAACCAATTGAATGGAACTCATCACTCTACATCAACTTCATTGACTACGAAAAAGCATTTGATAGCGTGGACAGAACAACACTATGGAAGCTTCTTCAATACTACGGCGTGCCACAGAAGATAGTCAATATCATACAGAATTCATATGATGGATTAAACTGCAAAATCGTGCATGGAGGACAGTTGACAAAGTCGTTCGAAGTGAAGACCAGTGTCAGGCAAAGTTGCTTACTTTCACCCTTTCTCTTTCTCCTGGTGATCGACTGGAACCTGAAGACTTCAATGACTCAGTGACATTTCACTGAACATACAAACTTGGTATTTCTTACATTCACCGACAATGAAGATTCTTATTGTACATCCCTATCTTGGGTGTGTAAATGTTCACAGGGTGTTGGAAGTCTTTGTTAGTTTTATTATTATTAATAAAGTAAATGTAACTAGGAATAGCAGCTCAACAGTGAAGCAAATTATTACCCATTGAAAATGATACTGGAACTGAACACACTTCATTAAAGAGGAACCGGAATTAGTAATAGAGATATTTTGTATCTTAGGCCGGTATTAAAGCCATTCAGATAATTTTGTTGCTAGCTAAATCTTAGACGGCCGTAGCTGAAACTAAACAAATAGGCGGCTGTCAATACAAAAATGTAAAATCACATAGTTGGTATGAATTTGTTAAATCTGAGTTAGGATGGTGCATCGAAGCTGCTTGGTTCATATCATATAATAAAACCATCTGGTGCGTCTAAATTGTAAAGTTTTGATGACAGACCTGGCCAATCTCTCATATGTAGAGTGACTAAAACGGACGGATGTTTCCGTTAGTCCCAGAACGCGGTTCGATCCCATACCTCTATTTCATGTCGTGGCTGATAAGTTGGGTGTCGGTGTAGTCCGCTTGGAACCGATCACTGAGGATATTGCGATCATAGAAACTCAGAATGTGATTCGGAACTTTTCACTCAGTGCCCAATGGCTAGAATATCTAAATTGCATTAGTGTTATAACTCAACGGGGCAAAAAATTCCAGCAAAATGAACTCGCATGTGATTTTCACTGCGAAGATTTACACAGGTCGGCCGACTTAAAATGGTGTTACTGAAGAGGGAAGAGGGTTTTGGTAAAACATGTCATGTCGATTTATTGCACAATCTAACTTCCTCACTGTACTCCACATGCTTCTACGGTGCAAAAATATTGACAAACTAGCACTGAATGGTAGATGGAAGTTCAAAAGCAATATGGATAGACTATGAATTTATTTACTGCCATAGATTTGCACTTAACACATAAGTATTTCAAACAGTGTATACTGTTTTACAAAACTTTTTTCAAATAAAATCTATTGGTTTGAATTTTACTGTGTGGAAATTTAGTGTAATACTCTTGTTACTCTGGTTTGGATGTGGTGTTTATCTGGACGAATGCGTACTGGATGCCGAGGTTTTTGAATGCGGAAAATATGGATAACTCGTTTACGATGGAAGGCCCTTTAAGCAAATGGACTAATCTCGTCAATGGTTGGCAATACCGTTGGTTTGTGCTTGACATAAGCCTAGGGGTTTTATCTTATTACACGGTTAGTTTTTTAAATTTTGCGGCTTCATACAGTTTCTTCGAAGGGTGAACAGTATCACATCCAGAGAAATGGTACAGCGTGTATATTATTGTTAGTTTTAAGTCAGCTATCCAACCTTTCCAACATATTACTTGCTATGCATCTGCTTCGGCCAAATATATACACTAATTTCGATAAGAAAGTTTTCTATGTTGGGTGTTAAGATATGTCCATATTCACCATAGGCTGTGGGTTTTTCAGATTCAGATTTGTTCAATAAGGACAGAATGCATACAGCCTATGCCATTCCTTTTCTGGTATGCTTCTGTGAGTGTTTAGTCTTCTCTTGAATGAGTCAATTAGAGGTGCGGATACCACTGCTTCGGGTAACAGGTTCCAAGAATTGATGACGGTGTGGAAACCTGTATGCCAAGGCTATTTTATTCGTTCTAGCCTTTTCTACTCAACTGCATCCTTCCATTCTGTAGGTGACTCACATTGGCCAAGTGATATGCTGAATATTACCGTTAGTGAGGTTGCAATGTATTGTGCAATCTGTCTCTGGATTTTGGGATGTAGTTCACCCGGTCCTGTTGGCTTTTCCGTGTCCGAGGTGCTAAGAGCCTTAACTATATCGTCTTGATCGAAGTCTACGGTGAGCAGACGGTTTGTTGACGCTACTTGGTTCAAGTTCTTCGTCTAGAAGAAGCTATTGAGTGAAAACTGTCTCGAAATAGTTTGCCATAGCCTCTTTTTTGACCACCTATCATTTCAGGTCCACTCTCTCCGGTAATTAGGTTGGGAATCCATTGCTGCATCCCTGTTCTGTAATTTATGTATGAGATTAGTCTCCTAGGCTGCTTGATTGCAGTTTGTGTCAACTGTATTCCATATTTTCCCTCAGCTTCCCGGATTTTAATTCTACACTTATCTCATACCGATCTGTAGCGTTCAATAGTACTTGCTGTGTGAATCCTGATGACAGAGCTGCAACATTTTTACTTGTCTTAGTAAATATCGAATATCCTGGCCCATCCACGGATGACCGCGCTTTTGAACTGTCAAGGGTATATATGGTGGAGTTACCCGATTGTATAACTGCCTGGAATGAGTACATGCCTCTTCTACTGATGCGCTTCTCTCCCTCTAAATACAAGTTGCTGCTTCAGGACTGGTCTGCGTCAACACCTGAACTAAGCATAGGGAGTGAAGTAGTCGAACGCGCTGACAACTTCACTTATCTTGGAAGACTGATCAGCTTTAATGAGTTGGTGTCTGACGAAATCTCAGCACGGATTCTAAAAGCTCGCTCGGCTTTTGCCAACCTACATCACCTGTGGCGAAGGCGAGATATCCGTCTATCAATAAAAGGACGAGTATACTGCGCGGCAGTCCGTTCTGTTTTAATTTACGGTAGCGAAACATGGCCATTAAGAGTAGAAGACACTCGTAAGCTACTAGTATGTGACCACAGATGCTTTAGAAATATTGCTGGCGTCTGCTGGGATAACCGGGTAAGTAATAGTGAGGTTAGACGCAGGGTATTAGGTAATGATGATAAATCAGTTGATGAGGTTGTGAATCTTCATCGACTGAGATGGTGAGGCCACGTGTTACGTATGCCTGAACACCGATTACCACGACGTACAATGCTGACCGGTGTTGGAGATGGTTGGAAGAAAGTTGGGGGGGGGCACACCAAAACGTGGCATCAGTGCTTGAAGTCACTAACTTGTAGTCTGAGCCATGTTACTGGATGCAGACTAATTTGTTGGGGCCCGCGTGACTATCGTAACCAATGTTTGGAGACTCTTGGTGACATGGCTCAGAATCAATCACAATGGCGTCGGTGTATACACTCTTTGTCTTTCCTTAAACTAAGAGATTAAAATTCGCTTGATATCTTTCTACGAACTAATTCTTTCTTCCTGTACTATATCTTTATTGCAGTCTTTCTTTTATATATTACAACCTCTGAATTAACTACTTTTATGAATCCGGTGTCCATTTTGTTGTGTTAATGAAGTATGGCAACTTGGACCGATGCATATATGTGCCTGGTCGTACGTTGTAGCTGACTGACTGAGTGCACAGGTGTCCATTCTCCAGTTTTCAACCGATGCTACAGAGTTTATCGCCTCCATGTCTGCCTTTCATATGTTAGGACGGGTCGGCGCAACTGCTTGACAGAACAACTGAACCATAAACTTAAGTAAGATAATTGCATGGTCACTTTTCCCTAGATGTGGAGGAAGAATCATCCGACTGACGTCATCACCGTGTGTGAATACTAAATTCAGGAGAGACGGGGAGCTTCGTAAGTCATGTCTGGTGGGATCTCTAATGTGCTGTAATAAAGCTAGTGCAATTATGGTTTCTTGTGATTTACAATAAAATTACGTTGTTGATGACACTACTTTTAAGTTTACCCAGTGCAATAAAGTTGCCTACTGTAAGACTTTTGCCCCTATTACATCAGTTTGTTTAGGAGGAAGTCCTCTAATGCAAGTTCTGGACTGCGATATACTACAACTAATTCAATATCTTGCCGTCTACATTTCAACCTGCATCGTACCAGTTTGTATGTCCCTGAATCATGTACCGCTGTCCCAACAGCTCGTATGGCTGAAGTACTATTCGTGTACAGGGTAACCTTCCCTCCCCTATGGTTTAGTCTATCAGCCCTACAGGATAAAAAGCCAATCAACTGAATTTCACTATCAAACATTTCTGACGCTAAATATGTTTCTGAGACAGCACTGATATTCGGTTTCTCTGTATCCACCATTGTTTTGAGCTCCGCCATTTTATTTAGTAGACTGCGAGCATTTGTGTAGCACACCGTTAATTCTGTGAAGAGCTTCGAAATTTTACAATACGAAAACCCTTCAGTCCGAGGTTTTTTCATCGTTTTGGCGGCGCTTATTTGTTTCTACTTCTCTCGATCGTCTCTTAATGTGGTCAACCAGGCTGAGATCTTCACGAACGTATATTCCGAAACCAATCCGTTTGCGTGTGTTTCCCAGTATCAGGTTTCTTCAGCCGAAGCAAAGGTAACTTTTAAGAGGCGGCTTTTCTGAGTACTTTCAGAATCCACCTTTTGTCTTATTCTGTAAAGCTTACAGATGCTAACTTCTGAAACTGTTTCTGGGAGTAGCTTGCTTATTAAGGACTTAATGTAGCTTAGGTCGTGCTCAAAAGTGGCCTTTGGTTCCTTTTCGAGAGATTCTCTTATGAACAACGATTGACCTGTCAGCGAGGTCCGTCCTAACACGCTGTAGAATTTTAATTTCTGAAATCTTCCTGGAATCTGATTTGGCGTCAAACGCATAGGTCTCACAGTACTTTCTTACTTTTATTTTTCTGGGTGTTACTGTAAACCAATCATTTACCTTATATTTTCTCTTGATCACACACTGAACATAAACAAAACCAGAGGTTTGTATATTAATGTATTTAACAATGATAAAAAAATCCGACCTCAGTAGTTACAAAAAGACCTTAACACTTTGGATACAAACAATACTAAAAGATATACTCAACGAGGAAATAAAATACCACTGCCCTTTATATATGTACTCAAAAAGTACATATGATAAAGTTCTCTAGAAAAAAGCTATTTTCTCGGAGATTATTTTGACTGAAATAAATTCAACTGAAGCAGAAACCGTAGTCTTGATGCATAATTAAACATTCGACAACTTCACTCACTATGTTTAGCCCCCAAAAGCCCTGGTACGGCCAAGAGTGAGGAGAGCCCGCTCTCCCTCTCGAAATACAATCACGTGGCCACGCTTATATAGCTTCTGCCAGGGAAGTCCTACTCTGCCTTTTCGTGGCGGGGGTGTTGTTTACAAAAATGAGAGGACGAAAAGCGAATGTCCGGCGCTTTAACCGGATTGGTGGACATGGAGAGTCCACCTAGGGGAGTTGGAAAACTCAGATTCCAAACCAATGGTGCTCATGGACTCCAGTATTCTGAGGGAACAAATGGCGTATGAACCAATCGTTGTTTACTGGCTACCATGGGACTGTATCTCCTCACGTTGCTCCACTACCTTGTGGATAAACAATAAATCGGGTCGAAGGTTTCGGGTGTGGCTCCCTAAGAAAACCACTTGCTTCGGTTTGGACACCCGGGCAGTATCACAGCCCTCACACATATCAAATGATATATGTGTGGGGCATATCTATTTGGTGCCTTCTTGTACTAATATCCATGTATTAAAATAAATAAATACACTATAGTAGGGGCGAACTTTTCTGCTGAAGGTGTATTAGCCTCAGTTGATCACTTGACTGCCATGTATCACAACATAGAGTGCCTATGTTTATCACTTCCAAAATGGCGTCCATCCGTCAGTAAGGTTTGGAATCGTTCTAAACATGGATTGTGACACTTACCTAACCTGGAAAGAAATGACCAAAATATCATTTAAATGATTTAAAGTTACGAGCGCATAAAAATGTTAAGCCGAAAATTAATTCTTAAAAATAATAACTATGTCTATCTGAACTTTTCTGAGTTTAGCATAAACCTCTGTCAAGCGTTCACTGGATGCCATAGTTTGTCTAATATCAGTGAGCACGGTATTTGTCACAGTGAACTCGTTAATGAACCCAAAAAATGTGGACGAAGCGTGAATTACTGAGACGGTTTTATAAATTACATAATTAATTCTGAATTAAACTGAACGTATGCAAGATACTTCTGCTCCTACGAAGAAACTAACACAATAGATGTTTGAAATCGAACTTTGTAAATAAGATGTGTCTAGCTAAGTCATTCCTGGAACTGGCAGGAAATGCTCACAGCATTTTCATACTGTCAAATATATTCATTACCAACCAAACACTGACCATATTATTATATTACATATTTCTACGTACATTGCATCGTTTATCAAGTTATTCAGCAAATCTGAGTAATAAGTACATTCTTAGTTGGTAGATTGTTTATTATCCACAATAAGGAGATTGAAGCAGTTTTACTCATGGATGGATTTAAGCTTAAGTGTGGTACATCCATTTCTCTTTGAACCGGTAGGACATGATAATCACGTTAATTGGTGTTTATTACCGACAACGTCTGGTAACCTCACCAATTTAATATACATTCCCTCACAGAATCGACGTCATAAACAGACAGTAATGTTGATTTAAGAATTCTCTTGTGGTAATGTAAACTTCTAACTCTTGCTTTTTGTGTTAATTCCTTACTAGAACTTTGTTAGCGTGATATAGATTGGATAAAGCATTTTATGAGCAGTATTGTATTGGGTCATCTTGATTGGCTAAGTAATAGCTAATCAACTCTAGCAGATACTTGGAGACGACTGTAAAAGCTTATTGTGTAGAATTATAAATATACTAAAGTTTTTTTATAATGCTTCCTACCTCCATTCGCCTGTGTTTATTTGGGATATAATCACATTCCTGTTCTGATTTGGGGACTTGTCAAATGAAGTAGTGTCCGAAGAATATTAAGCAGTAAGTAACTAGGTCGTAATAATAGGGATCTTGACAATCTTGTAGGAATTTCACCTAATCCAAACTTCCACGTACGCATGATTTACATTATAAGTTAGATATTGACTTGAGTCTTGATCAAAAGGTTAACGTCTTTATTGTTGTTATGGGTGAATATCTCTTTAAAATGTTCAGTCTTTGACTAGCTTATGTCAGTGCATCATAAAGTAGTTTTAAAATCCTTGTTTTTTCTCTTTGTTAGTCTAAAGAGAAGATGATGCGGGGCGATAGACGTGGATGTGTAAAGTTAAAAAATGCTCAAGTTGGGATTGATGATGAAGATGATAGTACATTCACCATAACTGTTGATCACAAAACATTTCACTTCCAAGGTAACCGTACTTATTTATTCTTCGTCTTCGCTACACTTTTTTTGAAATTTCAAACTGCTCTGTGAAAGATTGCCCAACTGATTGTTCTGTGGAAATTGTGTTTGACTTGTACCAGATGGTTATAGACAAGAAACTGTATAAACATCCAGGGACTTGGAAAATCAAAATATTAGTCAATGGTTGATGTGGTTTTTTGAGAGGATATATCTGTGGTGGTTTTTCTCAGTGCGGTATGGAAATCGGAGGTAGATAACACTATCTGATTCGGAGGTGAATTTTACAACCCACGAAAGTATCCCTTCATACATTTATACTACCAATGTCATGTTTTACCATTAGCCTTTACTTACCGTTAAAACTTAAACGTGATCATACAGGATGGGGGACTATAAGCATTATGTTACGTCATGATCGTTATTTAGTCTGAAAGTTCGGAATAGATCATTCTTGATAAAGACAATTATTATTATTATAATATACCCATATCATACCAAATTAACGTCATGTATTGTGAAAGCTTTATACCCATTACTTTCAGATCAACTAAGTATGGTTTATTCCTGACCTCAAGCTTCCCTTTAGCTACTTTTCTCTGTCCCTGTCCTAGAAGTGCGGTATTGTTCTTCATTGATAGAGATGGTTGGACCACGTGTTACGTATGCCTGAACACCGATTACCAGTGTGCGCAATGCTGACTAATGTTGGAGACGGATGGAAGAAAGGTAGTGGCGGCCAATCCAAAACGTGACATAGTAAATAAAATGACTAACTTCTGGTTTGATCCATGTTGGTAGATGCAGATTATTTGGTTGGAGTCCGCGCGACTATCGTAACCAATGGTTGGAGACTCTGGGTGACATGGCTCATGATCGATCACAACGGCGTCGGTGTATACACTCTTTGTCTTCCCTTAAATTGAGATTAAAACTGCTTTATTTTACTTGCATAAAAAAGGTCTATGTATTTTCTATATGATTTTTCGTGTTTATATCTTATCACTAGGATAATAAAATTAAGTTTGTGTTTCTCAAATCTGATTAGTTCAGGGTGGGTATTTATTCACCGTTTATCTGTTAAGATTTGGACTATTGAGTGGCTTTAGTCGATGTAGTATAACAACACAGATTAGATTTTTTTGGTTGGTCCAGGCTTTCGTGTAACAGGATAAATATGTATTTATTTGAACTTTCCAGTTGTGCTCTATGCATTGTGTGAGGATTTTTCTGAACATTTCACATTGACTTATTAGTCATACCTTTGTCACTGATGAGCTTGACATTGAGTAGGATTTTCCTGTACGAAATTGTACTTTCATAAATCAATTTTAGTTCATTTACACAGTCATTTGAAGTATTACTTTATTTTAAAATAAGGTTGCATTTGAATATAAATGCCCGTTCACAACACATGGTTGCTTATCCTTTAATCATCGATACTGTTTTTTATTTGAATATTAACGCTTAGCAGTCATATGATTATACTTATGTACTTGTCAGTAGGCTTATATACTTCTGAGTGTTTGAAAAAATAACTTAACTGTTAAATAAAATTTTGTATAAGCCACTTCACAAATAACATTTACTTCTCAATTTCGATGTAATGTGGTTTATATATCCGGTCAAAATATTAAAGTAACTATAATCCGTATTGTGTAGTTAAAACTTAGTTGTTCGACAGATTACTTAGTTACACTTTATTTTTTAAAAAACTTTTTATTTAGATACATTGATATTCGTTAATGAGCTAAATCTAGTGACTCTAGTATCGCGTACGAAACCGCAGATCACCATTTTTCTGATCAGTATGAAAGTTGATTAACAATATTAGTTACAGTTAAAAATTTCCTGTTATTTAGTGTCACGCTCTTCCGTTCATTATTCACTGTCACTTAAATGACTTGACCCTAGATCGCATGGTAATTAGTATTGCTTTATCGTAGAAGGGATGAGTTAAAACTCTAGGCCTAAGTTTTAATACCACCAGCCCTAAACTAGTTACATGAAATACGGATAATAACGTCTAATTATTCATCTCGAAATAAAAGTACAAATCGAAACCAAGGATTTACATGACTGTTATCATAAGATATTCGCTTTCCAAACTTGTATATGTTTTGATAGGGAGAAATGTATGTGTGTAAAGTTTCCATGGGACTCGCACATTTTTATTTATAGATTATAACTCATTGTTCCTTTAGTGAAAGTTAAGCAGTGATACAGTAAACCTTGCTGATTTAACTAAATCACTGCTTATTTTACTAGTTTCGTAAATCATTTTGTATCTGATCTTTATCCAGTTATTATAAATATCAATGTTTTCTTTAGCTCGTAACTCAGATGAACGTCAGAAGTGGCTAGACGCTTTACAGGAGGCTAGGGATTTACATACGCAGAATTATGCTCTTCTGAATCAGGTAATTTTCGATTAAATTCAAAGTAATTAAACGAATTTGAGTTAACACGTTGCAACACTTGTATAAAGAAATCATAGATTTGATAATGCAATCTTATTAACCCCTTAATAATGTCAACTGTACAGACTACATCGATGAGAATTCCAAATATATTTTTTAATAACTAGATTTCTCTAACAGCACATAAATACGTACAAACCACTTAATAGGCAAAAACATCCTATTATAAATATTCTTACCGTTTTAAATTACTCACTGTAAATATAGAAAATATTCTACTCTAGATTCGTCCTTCACCGACTATAGTTCATGTGATGTCTATATGTTTGTCATTGGTGATTGAAATATTCGTTTTTATATATAGATACCTTTTTGTTTTTTATCATCAACTTGCGGTTACGTTCACGGAACGTAGCATATACTGCTTCCTCTCTCTACCTGATTCGTATGTCTGGTGAAAGCGATTCAGGAAAGTATTAAATAAGAAAACTAAAAGTTCTGTTGATACTAATGATTTAATCATTAAAGGATCTAGCACTACAACTCATCGGTACAAATCTCTTCGTTTCGACGGTTTAGTTGAGATAAAACATACTAGTTCAAGAGAAACCAAAAAATTAAGGTAACAAAAATAGTGGAACACAGAAAATTAAATTGGTAGGGGTTTATTTAAAGGTGAAATGCTATTTTGTGCCATTTAGTTTCATACAGATAGTGTCAGTTTTTATCCACTGATTTTATCCAGTATCCTGAACTTCAGTCAACACTGGGTGTGGGTCGAGTGTTTTATACAGTTTTAGTGTATAGAGTTTCTCTTAAACCCCAAATCTAGGTGGTTGACTAGTATAAAATCTAAGTGTTTAGAGACTAGTCGATGTGTATAAATTTAATGTTCCTAGATCTTTGAAATACAAATTTTAATGACAACAATAATAGTAGAATTCTATAAAAATCGTGAAAGTGTCACTATGTGAATTCAACTGAATACGATAAATATTATAAAAATATTGAACAATTGTTCAAAGATTCATTCTCCCACTGACTGCATCTCAGACGATGTAAAAGATGAGTTTTACAGAAAGCTTTCCGACCTTCTCCGATGTAGTGATAGAGGCTGGTGATTTTAATGCTCAAGTAGGTAAATTAAGGGAAAGACTCTTGGGTGAATCTTATGGTGTCGCGGCTCAAAGAACAGATAATGGCGACCATCCGAAAAGCTGTGGAAACAGTAGTGATGTCTGCAAGTACGGTAAACCATAAGGTTAGGGAGAAACACTGGGTCACAGCAGTAACTATCGCACTGATACATGCTCGAAAACTCATTCCACCTGGCTCTGAACATAATGAAGAGCGGAGTCAGCTTAAGCACAAGCTGACAAGAAGCCTACGCAATAATAGCGAACAGTGGTGAGTGGCGAAAGCAAGAGAGATGGAAAAGGCAGCGGCAATAGGTAATAGCAGACAATTGTTCAAACTTGTTAAGGAAACCGGTATTAGGAAACCGACTGTTAGCGAAACACTCTCAGAGAAAGATGGACATATTATACATTTTCAAACCAGGAGATTGGATCGATGGGCAGAACACTTTAGGGATCAGTTCAACTGGCCTTCAGTCACACTTCGGTTTCCCACGATCTCCAGTCGAACTGGATGGGAAGTTAATGTAGGTCCTCCGACTCTTTACAAAGTTTAAAAAGCTATAGGAAATCTAAAGCGAGAGAGAGCAGCAGGCCCTGACAAGTTTATCCCTGAGATTTTTAAGGATGGTGGTCCAGTATTAGCAGCGAGGTTGACTGAGGTCTTAGGTAGAATCTAGGAACTGGACGTAATCCCATCTGACTGGTCTCAATCACTGATTGTGCCAGTCTATAAGAAAGGACAAAAGTCCTCTTGTGACAATCACAGAGGAATCAGTTTGACAAATATTAGCTTCAATAATACTTCGACACCTAATTAAAGCTCGCAAAGAGCAGACTAGAGAAAATCAGGTGGTTTTCGACCTGGACGTGGTTGTATAGACCAGATATTCACACTACGTCAGGTCCTAGAACATAGACACACATTCAGACGCCCCACAATCGTAGTATTTTTCGACCTTCAGGCGGCATTCGACTCTGTTGATCGTAAGGTTCTATGGCAGTGTTTGTCACTGAAAGGAGTACCAAAGAAGTACATTAACCTCATACATGCTCTCTACTCGAACACAACTGGTCGAGTGAGAGCTTATGGCGAACTGTCATCAGAATTGATTACTTCAAGTGGTGTTCGTCAGGACTGTCCACTCTCTCTATTCTTGTTCAACTTTGTCATTGACGTACTTTTATAGATAACACTTTCCTCGTCTAGGTTTCCAGGGGTTGAACTTCCACCGGGAGGTTCACTTGTTGACTTAGAATATGCTGATAACATAGTTTTATTTGGTGAAGACGCTGACAAAATGCAGAGTCTTCTGACCACTCTAAGCAACAATCCAAGCATGTTCGGGATGCGAAACTGGATCATACTTTACAACCTTTCATTTGATTATTTATTATGTGCTGCTTTACATTTAGAATCCGTCAATGGATGATTTTTGTTTTAGCTTATTTTTTCAGGATTTTACGGAATTACAGGTTTATTAAACTGGATGTTCTGTTTTATTTCTGCTCCCCTATTTTTGCTAAAGTTCTCACAGTTGGAGAATTAATAAGTTGATAACCAACCGTGGAAAAGGTAGTCCATGAGTTAAGGTTGTAAATTGCGAGCACCCTCACTGAGATATTAAGGACACAATCTACCTGTCTACTTTTTAATTACTTGTTAACTATTGCTTTAATCAGACAGTTTTATGGTTTGTAATTTCGTGACTGTCGAATTTCCTGTCATTGCCCTTGCATTTCCTCTTTTTTTGATTCGATAAGTTATGAGGTTTGAAATCACTGGTAATGTGAATGCCCGTTGTATGTGTAACGGTTGTGGTAAATCAGTAACCTAGTTAATTAGTGGGTATTAAGTTCAAAGCTCAGTGGTAACGTTAACACCATTACAAGTACATTTACCTTGGTTTTTGTCAAAATTCGAACAGTCGCATTAATCGGACGACGAGTAAATAGAAGACATTAGATATTGAAACACTAGTAAAGATCGCATTGTATGAAACCAAAAAAATCAAGCGTTTTTTGCCTAGTGGTGTTCAAACTTCATGAGAATAATCAAACTGAAGTAAATTCACCCGACATTTTTCGAATGAAACACTAAATCCACCGCAAAGCTACTGACTGTCATACTTAAACCATTAAGCTCACTGAATATTTTCTTGATGTTGAGTTCGTTAAGACAGATGTTATTTTAGATGTGTTCATCACTTAACACAGACTCACAGCCGATTATGTAGCGATTTCGAATTCATGAGAAATTTAGTTGACTACTTTAACATAATAATTTGTTCCCAATATATATTGGTCATCTTTACAACTTGTTTCGCAGCATGTATGACTCAATTTATGTATAATGTTATTTTTCAGCAACCAGTAACGTTTGATTTCATAAATATTTTGTAACTACGTGTAAGCTATTACAATGTTGTCTGCTGACGTCGAAGGTTTTCTGTACATGGAATTTTTTATTGCCCACATTATTCAAAGATCAATGTCACTCAATTTTTACCATACTGAGCATGATCATCTTTACTTTTCGATTTTTGATATTATAAAGCATTTTATTTGTTCATTTTTTCAGACCAATCGTTTACTGGAACATCCTTGCAGCCTTTCCGAATTCGACCGTCGTATCGTAGAGGCAGATGCTTTTTTACAAATTCTCATAGATCAACATGAGGTATATTTAAGAAATTATTTTTAATTTCCAAGTTTTATTTGTTCGTCGTGTCCATTTTCTGTAGTCCTATGTAATTGTTAACATTTCAACCGTTTTAATCAGTTGATTGTGACTAGAAAATTATAACTTATTCGATAAACTTGGCTTCTAGGTGTTTGTTTCGATGGATAGAACGAGAAACTCAACCTTGCGATGCGAGCAGCATAAACCCAATGTTTCAATATACTAGATGGTAGATCCTCAGAAATCACTTGGTAGACGTCTCATTTTGTAATTTTATTTTGAAAATCTGAATCTCTCGTTTTCGCGCCAACACCACCCACTTTTACACTCAGTTTGTATTTCCCACTTGGAAGGGCCGTAAATGTCATTGGTTCGTTGCCTCTTTTAATACACTATTTTGTAAAATTTCCTAAGGACCTTTATATACTGTGTATATAAATGCCTGAGGTGTGTGTTTGGTTTGTTTGTGCTTCTAGCTGCCTGTGGGATATACATTTCGCTCATCCCTACCTGGTCTTCTCCCTCTAGTTAGCAGGTCTGGAACACATCGGAATAGTTAGCTTGTCTTTTCGTTATTATTATTATTATTATTATTATTATTATTATTATTATTATTATTATTATTATTATTATTAATGGCTTTATTCAATATTATATTTTGGTACAATATAGAATTCTCAGCACAGGGTATTTCAACAAGTTTCTTACACAAAAAACAGAAACAAAGACAAAAAAAGGGAAAAAAGGTTTAAAACAATCTGAAAAACTGTACAATTTTTCATATTAGAGACATGTTAAGAATGGAGGTTATTGACTAGGTTAACTCTAACAACCTGTTCGTCACAGAGTATATTTGCTAGGTAAGGTATTATAGAGCTTTTATACTTTTGCTTGCGTGCATGGATTTTAATGTACTTACGTCTCGTTCTACCAGAAGGTATACAAGGAGAAAGATAAGAGTGAAGGGGATGGTTAGTATATGATAAAATAACACCTGCCAGTCGTTTGCATGACTTTAGATGTCTATCCACAACCATATTAATTATGACCTCGAAAGATCCACCACACACCTTGCTAACTGCCTTCAGCACTCTCTGCAATACAGCAAGGTCTTTTCTCAAAAGCCCGGGAAAGAATAATGGAGAACAGTAAAGGATAATAGGTGATATGCAAGAATTGACAAATTGTAAGAGTAAACGACGAGTAATCCCAAGAGCATGCGATCTCTTTATGTAGTAAGTCAGACGGAAAACCTTCTTCGATAACAATAAAACGTGAGAAGACCAAGACAGATCACAGGAAAAGGTAACACTAAGATATTTGACCTTCGACACTGTGTTTATCAAAGAGTCTCCAATAACACAAGCATTATGGGATCTCAAAATGGTGTTTAGATGCCGTTCATGTCTCGTGCTAAAGTTAAAAGCTTGACATTTAGACGGATTAATTATGAGACCATTACCAACAGACCAACAATCAATACGAGACAAAAACTCATTCATTACTATGGGATGTAAAGAGGAAGAGATAGGCATACATACAGTGAGATCATCCGCATATTTCACAAAAGTGTTTTCTGTGGAAGATGGCAGATCACGCAGAAAAAAAAAGAAAAGAAGAGGTGAAAGAACAGCTCCTTGTGGTACACCTTCATGAGACAGTAGAGACTCTGAACACTTTCCTCCAAACATAGTGTAATGTTCCCTTCCAGAGAGGTAGGAACATAGCCAGTTGGTTATCTAGCTGTCAGTGTTGACGCTGATTAACTTGTTAATTAAACATTGTCTTGGTATAGAATCAAAAGCTGAAGTATAGTCCAGAAAAGCGCATCGAACATACTTCTTACCCTTTTCTAAGTTGAACACTATATTGTGATGCAGAACAGCAACAGCATCTAAGGTGCTTCTTTTGCATCTGTAAGCAAACTGATACGGATCAATATGCTCTTTTATCGCAGGCTGAAGTGGAAGTATTAATAATTTTTCCATGGTTTTGAGGAAAGGTGAAGTTATTGCAATAGGTCTAAATTTCACATTCTTATCATCAGATACTTTCTTGGGTACAGGTATCATCTTCATCTTTCTCCACATTTTCGGTATGAGATTAGATGAGGAGGATCTGTTAAGGATAGTTGTGAATGGATAACATAGAACGTCAGCACATCAAAAAAGGAGGTTTGGGATACCATCAGGTCCTAAACATCGGGATGAATTAAGTGACTGGAGACATCTTCGAACATCAGTTTCAGTGAAACTAGGAACACAGCTATTCTTTAAACCTGTGGATAAAGGGAGCATCACATCAGATGACTGACGTACAAAAGGCAAACATTCAGCTGGTTATCGCTCCTAATCTGTCTGTCACCTGTAAGTTCTTTAAAGAGTTTCCACATACTTGAAAAGCTTTTGCAAGACAAGAGTTTTTGAGTAAACATAGAGTTGCTAATTCTTCTTTTCGTTAGCCTATTTGGGTGATCTCGTAATCTCCAAACATAGCACAATATTTCTATGATTTTTTTATAACCTAACATTGTTGTTACTTTGGTTTCTTTTTACTAGTCTCGTTTGATATATCCTTTATTTCTTTACGAATATCAAATCAATGAGATACAATCAGTAATATTTACTCAATCTAGTAAGCAAAATTAAGATAATTCTTTAAGTATGAGAATCAAAGTTCACCAAACTAAATAATTTGCTCATATAACGCACTTCAAATAATTGTGTGCTAATTTAAATCAGAATCATTATTTAGTGATTGTTTAGACTGTTATAAAAAAGTGTGTTTCAGTAAGGACTGTAGACCACGTTCCACATCAATAGGTTATTGTTCGTGTGCATTAGCAGTATATTTGCTCAGTTGAAGACATTACGGGTCCTTAATTATTGATAACTTATTACTTTTTCACAACGACGTATTGATTGGATACATACTTTCAAAACAGTACCATGTTCACTGGATCGACAATAGTAAAATTGTGTTATAATTAATTTCTAGTGCTTGTGAGGTATTCACATTATTGTCAACAGGAATTTGTACTTAATTGTTTGAAATGGTCCCCTTTTAACCAAAAGGACCAGAATTATGAACCTGTAAGATTTTTACAGTCTTGTAATGTAATTATACTTCATATACTGAGCATGGTTTGGAGGTTAGTCAACGAATTTGTTTATCATTTCTACATATCAATACAGAATGTTTTGGGCAGCATGATTCTGCAGACTCAAACGTTTTTTTCAAAATCTCAAAAGAGCTTGTACAACGACCTAAAGCTGTATATCAGATTGTTATGTATTGAACTGTCAAGATACTCCTATATTTTTAACGCTGCGCAAGTTTATTTGGTTCTTCATATAATTCATCAGTTTTTTTTCAAAACTGAAAAGTGGTCGCTTCGCTAACTTGATTTTTGTCTTATTCGTTTGTATACTGATCTCACTCCCATCTGATAAGTGTTTTTTTAATTCTATCCAACAAGACTTGTTATTTGATTAGGAGGAAGTTACATGATGAATCGCTTAAAATGAATAACAATAGAATTAAATTAATCGTAAAATATTTTAATTGTTTCTCGTTTTGTTAGTTATGTTCTTCAACTTATATTTGAAGGAGAAACTAAATACTAATCGTAACTGTATTATAATAGGATTATGTGCTTATCGTTTGATTACTTTCCGATCAACCTACTAGTTATGGTATAATGGTTAAAAGTATTCATGTTTCTACAGATATTATATCATAGTTTCGATCTTTACTCCACATTAGTCTTTTTCGTTACTACTTGGTATCACTAGGTCTAGTCTATTACTACTTATATCTACCTTGTCATGTTACATGTAATGTAATTTTCTTTAATCATATAATCTAGGTTTTATTTTGAAACAAATTTGATATTATTTTCATGAAATTACATGCTGTTAAGATGACATGAGTTTTATGAGCTTACGAGGAAAAACTGATTGCATTACAGTGGTCCACTCAGGACTCTGTAGTCTGCTTTTTATTGTGAAAATAAAAATATGAGATTGTAACTGGTTTTTTATCTACTGTCTAACGGAACATGAGTATAAAATAAGATAGACTCCATCATGGACATTGGAATAAACCGACATATATCAAACTATTAGGTGATGACGTTTGTTCAATTACAGATTGATTTTAACAGATTTTTATGACCCATTATTTTTTTACGTTTCACACTGACGGTGTAGATCATATGAACTGAACCAGGTGATACTTCGTCTAGTAAATACTATATTAATTCATGTAAATAAGAGATTTGTTAAGAGTAAACAATGTTTGCAAATATTTCTCACACATTATTTGGTTCGCAATTTTTCGAAAAATATTCAAAGCAGTCTAGTCATGTTCATGCCTGGTGACGTTTGGTGCACAGATTACGCTCATGAGAAGATTGCTTATCTGCATATCATTTGTGAATATCGTTTGCAACGTACCAATCCGACCAACTTGATCACCTACCAAACTATTCCTTTTGTATTTTCGTACACTCAAACATTTATCTTACATCTATTTACCGTTATTTAGTCTTATCTTTTTTTTGGAAGGTCCAGCAACTTAAACAATTACTGTGTGGTGCAAATTTTTTCATCGTGTTTGTCTTTGTGTAACTTTGCTTTGCGCAAATTTTTGTGTCTGTTTAAAGCATATGATGAACAATATATGTGGTTGATTAGGTTAATGATTTTCTTTTGGTCGATCTTGAAGCCTGAGTTTTATGACTTAAAATTAATTTGGCAAACTGCCGTGAACATATAGAATTCGTGTATTGTATTATTCCTGTCTTTTCTCCCGTTATTTTTTCAACTGATTAGTTATTCATTCAGCCCGATTGTTAATATATATAAGTTTGCGATTGACTATAGATATTTACCCAACTTTCCTTTGTAAAATTTCTTAAAAATCAACTTTAGGCGTATAATTGCATTTATACTGTTTGATTTCAGCAGCTGGTCAGTCATATTCCATCGTCCGATGAATGTCGGCCGGAGATTATGGGTGCTGTCACTTTTCGGATGCAAGTAAGTCAAAGTCACATTAGTTCTTACTGAAGTGTTTTGTGGTAAGGCTTATGGAATTTAAAAGTAGTGTTCATTACAAAATAAAATAAGCTGAAAACTTATCATAAACGAAGGAGGAACGACAATTATTTCGTCGCGATTTGGGACTCATTATTAGTGCTCACACACAATTGCATCAAACTCGATGACACGTGGCTTCATTCAATTTACAATACTACTAAATTAAAATACCTCACTGATATGCATAATTTTTTAAACTGCTAAATAACACGCTACACCATTCATTCACATGAAAATTTCTTGTCTTAAATATTTGCACAATTTACAGTTTATCTTTTGTTGTTACTTTGTGTATTATCATTATTTGTATTAAATGTTCAGTCTCCTTATTAGTGAACTCAATGACTACAGTTAGTTAACCTTCGACTGTATGTATTTATGAGACAACACTTTTCTACCTAAAATTGTCTTAATTTTTAATTTTATGTGTATTCCTTTTATTTTTACTGTCAGTGCACAAAGGTATATGTACGTGGGCATATCAACCATTCCCGAATCTCTTATTAAATTTTTCATGTTTCTATAGATGGTTATACCATTTATGATGTAAATTATTTTTTTGTCTGCGTGGTTTTCGTGGTAGCGACTATTTTAAACGTACATAATATATAAGATGGTGTTGTCAAAAAAACTAAGCAAAAAATATTGTGCAGATAGTGATATTTTTTAAATTTTTTGATATATGTTAGCTTGTGAAACGCATCTGACCTCCAGATCTTCGCTTCAACCCACACTTCTACACCCAATTAAACCACATTTGAGGAAGACAGGAATAGAAACTGATTGATTTCTACCTAGTCTTGATGGACAAATTTATTTTTGTTCACGGGGAAGGTCACTGTACTTAAATTAGTTAAAACCACTCAGTGGTTGTGGCGAAATCGGAACCTTCTTTGGATACGGGTTTCATATCTTAGATGACAAAGTGCTTAGTTGACTACTTGGAGGTCATTACTTTGGATTCTTTCTCAGCTCATAACGTTTTGTAGTTTCACTCACCACTTCCGTATACAAATCTCATCTAATGAACTTCATGATAGTTCACTTTGTATTATTTTGTAGCTTTAAAAAATGGTCCATGAAAGTGAAATATATGCTTAGGCTGCGATGTCTTCAAAGCATTATTAGCTTGTGGAACGATCGAATGAACAATGTTGACTTTCAACGTTTGGTACTAAGGAAAGATGTCGAGTTGACCGATAACGTTGTGAATGTTCATGAACTTAGGTGGTTGGGACGTATGTTACACATGCTTATTCCCCTCTTCGATGTAGAGTATTAATTGATGTAGGACTAGGTTGAAAGAAAGCTAAGGGTGACCAAGCCAAAATGTGGCATCAGTCCATGAAATCGTTGACTGTTGGTCTAAGTCATGCCGGTAGATGCAGACTACCTGACTAGAGTCTACGCGGTTATCACAACCACTGGAGATGTGTAACATGGCTTAGAATCGATCACAATGACAAAAGTGTATTTACTCTTTATCTTCTAAACATTGAGTCTTAATATTCCTCCATACATATATTTTCATTCTTTTTCAAACTCTCTCGTGGTGCTTTAGTTTCCCTCATTATCATTACTACTATTATTGTTCCAACTCAGTTATTCATCTTGTTAGTTTCGTCTCGTATTGTAGGGGTATGGATACTTTGAATGACACAGATTTGTGATAGGCTGTACATTGATTATGATGGACTGATTATACAATCACAGCTGTCTCATATCATTGTTAGATTATGCAGTTCGCTTATAGTTTATTTTTTGTCAAAAATCATAATTGGAGGTGTTCCACACCTTGACCACATATCGCGGTTGCATTCCGCAGTACTCCCAATTCTTTTGTGACTAATATATTGTATGCTGTAATCATAAAGAAAAGCGCTGTTTACTATGTAGGTATTACGAAGAAAACAAAGAACATGTGGAACACACTGATCTATTTGGATTTAAACTATCACAATTCACTTTGAATCATAGCCATTATCAATTAGTAACTAGTCGGAAATTAATGAATAATTTTATACTAGGATTTATATTGGTGGGTTTATTCAACTTTGAAAGCGACCCTCTCGAACCCAGTTCTTTAAAAGCTGACATTCTGTTTAGCTATACATCATTCTTATTTGTAGCCATCTGAGAACTTTTTCCACGTTATTTTACGAAGAATACGTTACATTTTCATTCTACTTTCTAGGATTATTCTTATGTTCACTCCATTTATCAGGGAAGTGTCATCGAAACAATTGTTACCACCAAAGACAAAATTTAACCATATTTCTATGTGTGCATACCACATTGTTCAAATTGTCCGTTTCATTCTTCACTAATTTCGTGTATTTAAACCTCACAATGAATATATTTGACCTGAATTTACGACTGATAAATAAATATTTACTCACAAACGTGAATATTGAATAGTGATATAATAAAATATTTATTGCTTACTGTACTACAAAACTTCGCCCACGAATGTAAAAGGATTTGTCAAGTTGTAACTGTGTATACGACTGTCTACGTAAGCAAAGTCGTAAGATTATGTTTCATAAACATCTTTCTAGATTTTGCTATTTTACAAGCTGCTTTTATTTACCAGTTGTTAGTTTTTCGAAACTATACGAATATGAAATTTGATATCATAACTGCTTTCATCATTAAAACCTTTGCCAAATCGTTTTCTTTCATGCACAAATGTTTGTCATGATTCTTTCTTTTAATATAACTCACACAGACACAAATAAATTTATTATAATTTATGTTTCAGTACCAGATTTAAGTGTTTGGTTCTTTGCATCTATCAAATAATGTGGTCTTTGAATGATTATTGTCTAGTTATTTCCTACTGTAATGGTACGTTCAGGCAATTGAATTTAAGTCTAACCGTTGGTAATAATTGATCAATTGTACTGTTTCTCTTGTGTAGTGTCATTACCTCCCATACTAGAACATAGATGTGTACCTGGTAACGAAGTTTTACCACTGTTAATCTGATCACCGCGAGGCTTCTGTATCTAGTTTATTTTCAACACTATTGACTCAACGTGTAGTGTAGTCGACTAGGATTCTTTACCTCTACAATACTCCTCAACTAATACCAAGATTACACACTTTATAAACCCAAAATTCGTCTAGAAATCTTCAAAAGGATTATTTCTCAAATATATAACCTCAGCTTATATTTTACTTTTGGAGGTTATATAACACAACGGTGTTTGATACAGAACACCAGATTCGAATGGTTTTAGAATATTCTCACTCATCCATTTCTCTTGATAATTATTATTTATTATTTTAACACATAGATATTGGTACAAGAAGGCACCAAATACATATGCACCACACAAATCTCATTCGATATGTGTGAGAGCTGTAATGCTGCCCGGGTGCCCAAACCGAAGCAGATGGTTTTCTTAGGGGACCATTCCCCCGAGCCTTCGACCTGAAGTTCTGATCCACAAGGTAGTGGAGCATCGTAAGGAGATGCAGTCCCATGGAAGCCAGTGGCCAACAATTGGTTCATATGCCATTTGTTCCCTCAGGATACTGGAGCTCATGAGCACCATTGGTTTGGAATCAGGGTTTTCCAACTCCCCTAGAGGTGGACTCTCTATGTCCACCAATCCGGTTAAAGCGCTGGACATTCGCTTTTCATCCTCTGATTTTCGTAAACAACACCCCCACCACGAGAAGGCAGTGAGTAGGACTTCCCTGGCAAAAGCTATATACGCGTGGCCATGTGATTGTATTTCGAGAGGGAGAGCGGACTCTCCCCACTTTCGGCCGTACCAAGGCTTATATAGGCCCTCTTGCTAATACTTATTATTTGATTGAGTAACATATCATCATCAATAATTTTTTATTTTGCAATGATTGGTAGAGTATCTGGTCGATACTTTGTCAATCAGAGAAGAAACCTACCAAACTGTCTTGAAATGACAGCTTATTTGTTTCAGTTAGACGATGAATCATTGTTCAGAAGAATATATAAAGGATATTGGTTAAGATAATTTATATTTACTCAAGTTTTCTTCTTTTGTATACTAAGACGACCGCGACCACACAGTGTTAATTGGATGTACTTCATTGAGATACCAAAGAATGTATTAATCAGTGTGAGAACTACGGAGGAAGCACGCCACTAACGTTACAGGGGGGAAGTTTACAAGTGTTTCTGAAGCGAATAAAAGATTCAGTAGATAACCAAATTCGACGCCAGGAAGCTGGCTTTGGTAAGGATTATTCTTTATCGACCGAATTGCGATACTGTAAATCATTGATGAATAACAAATTGAATTGAACTTTACATCAACTTTCTTGATTCTGTAAAGGTTATTCGACAGCGTGAATACGTAAATCCTATGAAATCCTCTTTGGTTCTATGGAGTGCCCGAAAAGATGGTCACCATCATTTGGAACTCCTACTGAGGGCTGACTTATAAAGCCGTGCAAGAAAGAGAGCTTACAGATAGATGTATTCTGAGTGAAGACTGATGTCAAAGAAGGATGCATATCCTCACCTTTTCTCTTTCCTTAAGTTGCTGACTGGATCGTAAAGACCTTCACGGATTAAGAAAAAGACTACAGATAACATAAAGGTTCTATCGCATGCACAGCAAAATATACAGAGGGAGGAATCCAGTGAGTCATCGGCTTCGGCAAGAATAGGCATCAACATTTATATGGGAAAAAGAAAAATCCTGAAGAACCAATTAAATCACACTCTATGGAAAAGTTATGGATGAGATGGAAACATTCACGTACATGCTTACCATCATTGATGAATAAAAACGTTTTGGTGCAGATGCTAATGCACAGTTTGGCAAAACAAGGGGAGCTTTCTTGCAATTGAAGAATATCTGTGACTCAAAACAACTGTTACCCAATATGTATGATACTCCAGATCCATTGAACAGAGACCATCAGTAACAATCTGTGGCAGAGAA